AGTAGCTGGGACTACAGGGGCTCACCACAACGCCCGGCTATTTTTTACAGATAGGTTCTCCCTCTTGCTCAGGTTGGTCTCAAACTCATGAGCAGGCAATCACCCACCTCCATCTCCCAGAGTGTTGGGATTACAGGCATGAGCCACCGTGCCCAGCCTCAGGGAGTGGATTTCTCAGGGTCATGCAGAGACCTCTAGTATTTACTGCAGTTGACGGTCAGTTTGGAATATTCTGTGTGTGCCCTCAATTAGCAGGTAGTGACAAGTGTCAGGGAGAAAAGATGGAAATAACACAAACCTGGTCCCTATGCAAGATTTCACAGTCTAGCCTGGAAAATAGTTTCAAGTGAATTTAATTTAAATCAAGGGATGTGAGAGGCCAGGTGCAGTGGCTCACACCTGTAATTCTAGACCTCTAGGAGGCTGAGGGAGAAGGATTGCTTGAGCTCAGGAGTTGGAGACCAGCCTGAGCAAGAGCAAGACCTTGTCTCTACCAAAAATGCAAAATTAGCCAGTATGGTGATATGCACCTGTAGTCTCAGTTACTTGGGAGGCTGAGGCAGGAGGATGACTTGAACCCAGGAGTTTGAGGTAGCAGTGAACTATGATGATGCCACTGCACTTTAACCCAGGCAACAAAGTAGGACACTGCCTTTAAAAAGGGTGTGGCAGGGGAGGTGTCATGAGGAAGCCACAGGTGCATTTAACCTGGGACCAGGTAGGTTACTTGAAAGGGAAAGGTTATACAAAACATAGGACCTACCTACAGAAATATTTGGATGGTTCGATGATGGTGGTGATCAGTTGGAGAGAGCTTTTTTTTGAGACAGACTCTCACCTGTCACTCTGGGTAGAGTGCTATGGTGTCACAGATCACAGCTACCTCAAACTCTTGGGCTTAAGCGATCCTCTTGCCTCAGCCTCCCAAGTAGCTGGGACTACAGGTGCCTGCCACAACATGCGGCTATTTTTTGGTTGTAGTTGTCACTGTTGTTTGGCAGGCCCAGGCTGGATTCAAATCCGCCACCTCTGGCATATGTGGCTGGTGCCCTAGCCCCTGAGACAGAGAGAGTTTTCAATGAGGACCTGGGGACAACCATGAATTGTGAAGGTCACAGAGTTGCTGAAAGAGAACAGGGGGAGAATTTATGTTTTAGTAACAATTTATTAATGTAAAAACCATAGTTTGCTTGCTGCTTTGTTTTCTCAAAGGAATTGTTTGCTAATTTTTCAATCCTTGTATACTATCTTGTAATTTTCTTCCTCTACTTTAAGGTAAACACAGGAAGAAAGCAGAAACTCCATGTTTCTAAGAGATGGAGTCTCACTATGTTCCCCTGGCTGGTCTGGAACTTTCTGGGTTCAAGTAATCTTCCCACCTCAGCCTTCCAAGCAACTTGTACTATAGGGGCATGCCACATTCCCAGCTCTGTTCATTTCTTACTGAAACACTGGGATTGAGGGTCTTTTTCTCATTAACTGATGAATGTTGGTGAGAAGCAGATGAACACAGATGCTCTGCAGCGGGCAGCAGAGCCAGAGGGGAGTGACTGAAATTTGAGACCTGCGTGGAGGCTGCAAAGGGAGGGACATGGGAGCTCCCCTGTGAGTTTCCCAGAAGCTTGCTCTCCCCTGCAGGTGACCTCCAGGTGCTCAGAACAGCCACAGAGGGGATGTGGAATCTGAGAGAACACAAAGCACAGGAAAACAGGAGACTCATGTGCAAATTCATTGGAGTCGGGGAAGTGGTTCTGGGCTTTCTGTGCTTGTACCTCTTCTTGTCTGGAACCATTTTCGGGACAGTGTTTTGATTTTGTATGTATAGAGTTGCTGAAATCAGCCTGTAATTTCTATATATGAGCAAAATATGTGAAGGTTAGAGAGACTCATTTAGATAGCATTGTAGAGAGACTCATTTAGATAGCATTCTGGAGAAAGTGTTTGTGAATTTAACAGGTTATTTAGGTAGGTCAGAATTTTTAGTTCTTTTCAGGTGAAGAGTTTCTTGTTGAAAATTATAAGGATGGTCAGTCTTTATAGTGAAATGATAGAAAAATAATAATAGTTACTATTATATTGAGACGGAGTTTCACTTTGTCTCCCTGGGGTTGAGTGCCATAGTGTCATAGTTCACAGCAACCTCAAACTCCTGGCTCAAGTAATCCTCTTGTCTCAGCCTTAGTAACCGGGACTACAGGCGCCCGCCACTATGCCCAGCTAGTTTTTCTAATTTTTTTAGTATAAACGGGGTCTCACTCTTGCTCAGGCTGGTCTCGAAATCCTGAGCTCAGATGATCCACCCGCCTTGGCCTCCCAGAGCCCCAGAACGTTAGGATTACAGGCGTGAGCCACCATGCCCGGCCCCTTTCGATTTCTTTATAGAATACTGCTGCACATAGCTCCAGTTTTCCCATGCATTTAATGTTTTTATTTTCTTGTTGGTGATTTTTAATTTTCTTGACTGAAAATGAATAGGTTGAGAGACTATGGTAGGAGAAAGCCTGGGTTATGCCTTCCATCGCTTTGTCCCAAATTCCTGATCCCTGAGAACATTGTACCCTTCCTTCTGTTTCAGTCTTGTCTGGCCTTGCTTGGGCTGCTCTTCTGCTCTAAGGAAGGGAGATCGCGCTTTTGGATGCTGAGCCTGGAATTCCTTGCTTACACTAGTGAAGGAGGAACAACCGAGTACAGGAAGTATCAGCTTTGGTAATGTCTAAGGAAGTTCTGCTGAAATGCAGATCTATCCCCCCCGTCCTCTCACTCCCACCCGCCGGCCAAATCCCTGGTAAGGCAGAAGCTTTGGGTGCCAGAACTGTGGCCAAGAATCTCTCATTCCTACTCCACTGAGCAAAGATCATCACTTCTCCTGTCATCTAGGATGCAGGGGGCGGAACCTGAAGTGGTATCTAATCTGGGCGCTGGGGCGGGACCCTGCTCACGATCCAATCAGTCGCGAAACTGGGCCCGTGGCTGCAGACTTTCAATCTTCTCGCGGGATTTTAATTTCTCGCGTACGCAGGGCTCCTTTCAGCTTTGCAGCTCTCGCGGGCCTGAAGCTTCTGTGTTGCTACCTGTGTGGCGCTGTTCTCTACACTGGCCACAGGATCCGTTAGGAGGGACGCAGACACCCGGGTGCTGGGAAATGGTGAGTACGCGGGGCCGGGAGTCCCGATACGGGGAGGAGGGGCTGGTTGTAAACGACCGGAACTGCGGGGCCTGGGCTGTGGCTGCGGGACGCGGGCCTCCGAGGTCAGCTGCGGAGTCTATGACCTGAGGCCGCAGCTGGCGCAGCTCGGCCCTCGGTCCCTCTGGCCTACAAGGTGGGACTGGACCGGCAGGCGGGCCCCCGGTGTCCTGTCCCGTCCCCACGCACGGCGACTTTCGGCCCTGGCTCCAATGTTCTCTCCGTGCAGCTCAGCGCCTTCAGCCCCGTGTCTTTCCAGATTGTGCGGTCTCGGCGGGAGGGTCATCAGGGGAGAGTCCTGACTGGTTCTCTCTGGGATTCCTTTGTGGTGGAAGATGTGGTCAGTAGGGTTCTCTAGTTGCCTCTTTTTCTCCAGAGGATCTCTATTTTCCCCTGAGTTTTCCAGAGGTACGGGAAACAGGATCTGAAATTCACGACCCTATCCCCCATCCTGGCTCTCTCTAGGGCTGCCAGTAAATTGCAAAAATTCTGATTCCCTCCTGTCATTTCCAAACGTCATTCTTTCCCCTGCAATTCTCATTATCAGGTTATTTCTCCTTCGTTCTACATTCCAAACAGACATCGTATTTTAATTATCATTTTTCCTCAAAGCAATGGATGACTCTTTTATCAAGATGTGTTTTCTCTTTGTGGCCTTTTCACTTGAGAAGAAAGCAGAGAATACCTGCCAGATATTCGGTTGTGAAAAAATACCTGTGTCTTTCGCCTCCTTTTATCTTCCTAGGCACAGATACTTTATCAGAATGTCTTTGAGTTGAGAGGTTCCCCTTTAGAAACTTCACAGGGTGGTGTGTCTTCAGTGAACTCTCCTGTCTTTTTCTCCTTCCTGGGTTTCAGAACTGCCTGCAGCTTACCCAGGGTGCAGGTAGCTTTCCAGGTCTCTTGGCAGGTCTAGAGAATATCAGTACCTTTGTCGCGCCTCCCAGAGGACAGCCTGAAGTGGTGCAGAGGAGCCTGCCAGGGTTTGCAGCTGGGTATCCTGGGGCTTGGGGAAATCTAGTTTACCCTTATTATAGATAGCCAATCCCTGGGACACTCAGCTTTTCCTCCCCCACACCTAGTTTCCATTATTTGGAGACACTTTGGTGACCCCTTGTATTGCTGTTACTGAGAGATGAGAAAATAAAATAACTTTTATCAGAAATTCAAGTCCTATTAAATGCTCTTGGCCCAGAGAGACGTTATAATGAAACAGCAGTCATGTTCTATTTCCCCACCCCTCTTGAGATATGTATTCCTCTCTTCAAACTGCTTGCTATTGTCACAATTCACACCCTGTGGCTTAATAGTGCAATATTATTTTTGTAAACTAATGACAATTGCTAACTAACCACTCCTTGTGCCTCCTTTGGAGGGCGTGTTGGGTCATATATTTTGTGCCTGGAGAAAAAACAGAAATGATTCCTGTCCTTTGGATTCTCTCATCCTCATGAAGGGAAAAGAACTATTCCACAGGACAAGGTAAACCTACCCCAGCAAGGTAGAACAAAATGCACTTAGAGTGTACAAGGGGGTACAACACACTGTGTCTTAGGAGGGTAGCATATCATGGGGCAGTGTCTCAGGGAATAGGATGACTTCACTGACACTTAAGTCAGACTTGTCAGCACTGCTTCTCCTTGAGTTTGTCACCTTCAAAAATTTTGTTCAATTTTTTTCACCTTCAGTTTTTCATTTACTAGAAAATGCATTTTATTAATAGAACTTTTGTAGAAAAGATAAAGAATTTTTAAAGAGGATTATGGGGAAAAATTAATATCTACTTTTATATTCCATGTTTCAAAAACTCTTCTTTTCTTCTTCCCTAGAACATGTGTAGTATGTTTGCTAGATCTGTTTTCTGTTAGGTTAACTTGACGTGGAACTCCAGGGCTTTGTCTTGAGAATATTATCAGGGAAAAGAAATAGGAAGAAAAAGAAATACCAACAAAAAGTCCTACAGCTTTTTTTTTTTTTTTTTTGAGACAGAGCCTCAAGCTATCCCCCTGGGTAGAGTGCCATGGCATCACAGCTCACAGGAATCTTCAACTCCTGGGCTCAAGCGAGTCTCCTGCCTCAGCCTCCCAAGTAGCTGGGACCACAGGCGCCTGCCACAACGCCTGGCTATTTTTTTGTTGTTGTTGTTGCAGCTGTCATTGTTGTTTGGCAGGCCCGGACTGGATTCGAACCCGCCACCTTAGGTGTATGTGGCTGGCGCCTTAGCCACTTGAGCCACAGGCGCCAAACCAGTCCTATAGCTTTTCCATTTTGGTTGCAGAAAACAGAATACATTTTAGACAAGAAACTGTGGTAAAAATAGGTAAATTACAAATTTTGCCAAAACGCCAATTTCTATTTTCTTGCAAGGTGCAAAATTTGATAACTGTTCTGTTTCCTGTTATCTGAACTTGGTAGATTAATACTAAATTTTATGAGACAGGACTTGGGAACACCTGGAAGTACTCTACTATGAATATTTGTTTACTAAATGATTTATTATCATGGAAAAGTAAAAATAGTAATTAAATGACATCTTTGTCATCTGAAAGGGGTGGATACTTGTTCTTTTCCTGTTGAGCTATAAAATATCATTGCCTTACAGGTTCCTTCCCTCTTACAAACGCTGAATTTGAGTGATTTGTTGTATTCATCAAAGATGGGGCATTTTCCCATGAAAAGTATATATGAGGAGGTGAGTCCCCTTGACTGGGAATAGGGGCCTGAAGTCAGTGACTGGAAGAGGTGATTATTCTAAAAGAGTACTGCAAAAGGGGAGGAAACATTAACTATAATAAGGTCTACAAGCATCTCAAAGTTTAGGGAGAAAAGTGCTTTTTTTTTAAAGGGAAGAATAAGTTTAGAAAGAAGGTAGGAGGTAGAGGACAGGATGGAGAGTTCCAAATCAGACCCTAGATCAGAGACTGTTTTACCATGAGTCCAGCCTGTTCTTTGGAGGTGTCATGAAGTGGGGTTAGCTGCTGGCTCAGGCTGAAGGTGGATCAGAGTTTAGGATCCTGAAGGAAGGAGAGAAACTTAAAGTATTCAACCAAAAAGATAGTTTTGCCTCTTTTGAATTTTTAGTAAGTTAATATTACCATCGCTATATTATCATTATTACGTTGAAGAGGTTTTTTTTTGGGGGGGGGGAGATTTCTTAGCCTGTCTGTTGCACACATGCTGCGATGGCTATGGGTCTTCTAGTAAAGTCATTCATTCCATTGCTTGACTTGAGATGTTTCAAGTTCATTTTTTAATCTTGCTGACAGTATCAATTCTGTGTGTGTGTGTGTCTCGCTCTGTTGCCTGGGCTAAAGTTCAGTGGCATATGATCTTTAACTTAGCCATACTTAACCCTTTCCCCTCCTCCTTTCCCTCCTACTCTCCTAAAACAAAGATAGGACCCTTGCTTGGCGCCTGTAGCTCAGTGGCTAGGGAGCCAGCTACATACACCAGAGCTGGCGGGTTCGAATCCAGCCTGAGCCTGCCAAACAACAATGACAGCAGCAACCAAAAAATAGCCAGGCATTGTGGTGGGCGGCTGTAGTCCCAGCTACCTGGGAGACCTGAGGCAAGAGGATTGCATAAGCCCAAGACCTTGAGGTTGCTGTGAGCTGTGATGCCATGGCACTCTACCCAGGGGGATAGCTTGAGGCTCTGTCTCAAAAAAAAAAAAAAAA